AGAGTCCTGGTCTGTAGATGAGTGTAAACTGCAGAGTCCTGGTCTGTAGATGAGTGTAAACTGCAGAGTCCTGGCCTGCAGATGAGTGTAAACTGCAGACTTCTGGCCTGATGATGTTGCTCGTCTGTGCTGGCTCATTTTTTTGAACAGTGACCCTCTATGAGCAATAGAGCTAATCAAGGCACTAACGACCTATTGTTTGGCTGATGGTCCTCTTTTGCATGTGACCAACCTGTTTGTCCACCATGTGGAGGCAGTGACTCCTATGACTGAAGAAAGCTCTTGGAGGAGAGACAAAACATTTCATTGAAGAAGAACCCATCCAGAGGGCCTACTTATTATTATTATTTTTTCTTTAAAAATCTGTTGTAGAAGAAAGAAGGAGGTTTTAAACATTCCTGAATTTGTTCAACATTTTGCTGCAGGAAAGCATCAGCTTCCTGGCTCCATCTCATTTTTCAGTTTGCCATATTTTGTTTTTATGTCAGTCAGCGTAAAAATAAAAAATACATCACCCCCCCAAACATGCCAGTGTCAGCTGGGATGATAAAACATGAGGTGCTGTTATTCTCTCAGCTTGGAATAATCAAAACAGGGAAAAAAAACATGCTGTAAACCAACAAAAATAAATGATTGAAAATGACATCAGTTTACATTTTCATCTTCATGTCTGGAGGCCGCTTTAATACTTGTTGAAAAAGATCCTAATTCTTAATTAATCAATTCAGATTTCGTTGTGTTGTTCTAAAACCCAGAACTTAATTAATTTTTGTTCAGTATTTTAATGAAGTTTTGTCTTTAATTGAAACCACTCGTTTCCAAACAGATTTACTGTGATGATGTTTAGTTTTATACTTTGTAACAACATTATTTTGTACGTTAAACATATTAACGCTGTCTGAGTGTTTGTGCACAGGCTCCTTCTCCTTCTCTGTGCTGTCAGGGAAAGTCATGTTCAGAGAGGTTTACTTCATCAACCAGGACATGTCTATCAGGTAAACTCATCTATTTCTTGTATAAATCACTTTGTTCTTTCACAGCTTATTTTATAATTTCATGTTTTTTTTGCGTGTGTTTCAGGATACAGGATGGCTTTCTCATCTTTCGCTGGTGGAAAATGTATAACCCAAAACAAAAACAACATGGTGAGTAGACGGTTAGAAGCTTTTTAAGTTAAATAACAGGTTTTTAGAGGAAATTAAAATGTGTCAAACAGACAGTTTTGATCATTTAGTCACTTGTTTTACCACTCTTCAACAGATCCAAAGGCAGAGACCAGGCTTTACGTGACGGTCAACGGCTTTGAGTTTCACGTCTACAACCGGACCGACCTTTACGCACGGCTGCAGGAGATGTTCGGACTGGAAGCCACACTTTTAACGCCCAAGAAAGACGATGAGAGGGGACAAGAAGACAGAAATGAGACACTGGAAAAGTAAAAGCCTATAGCTGTTTTTTTTTTCATAAAGTTGTTAAGAAAAATGTCAACATTTATCATTGATGTTAAAAAGCTTCTAAACTGATCATATAAAAGATCAGGAAAGGAGTTTTTTTTTCTTATCAGAAAACATACATAGTACGGTGCAAAAATGATGACTCCCCCTTCATTTGGGAGTTTTTAAAGTGGGTTATTATATAAAATTAATTTTGGTGGGCTTTATGTCTTATGTCATTCCCTCATCGAATACATACCCAGAGTGTTGCTTTGACTCATTCATGCATGTTTGAGAAAACCTTGAATCTCTTGTAGCCATGTGGAGCTGCCTTTGTGGTACAAAGCTCCGCCTATTTACACAAAGCTCCTCCCTGGAACTCAGTCCCCAGCCAAGCTCCACCCTATAGATCACCCTTTTCCTGAAGCATTGTTGTAAAGAAGTGGGAGTGTCAGAAACAGTAGGAGGTTCTTAAAGAAACAGAGGCCAATTTCATGGTGTTGAGATAGACGATGATGCAAAGTTAAATTTATTTTTGGCATAACTGAAGGTAACTTAGTTACTTGATTGTGGTGTAGAATTGAACTGTGTGTCTGGGAAATACATAATACTCCCCTTTTTAAATATTTAACTTTCAGAATAAGCA